TAACTATCTTATATCATTCTAACACCTCATCAACTTCAATATCTCATTCAAATTCTTGAAACCAAGAATCTTACTAAATTTCCCACATGTTCTAATTTCATTTCTAACACTTCATACTTCTTAATTTAACTGATGACAAGTCAAATTTAATCTCAAACTTCTCTTCCTAACTTCTTTTTACAATTTCACTTAATCACCTCTTATATTAAATCCTTCCTAACTCTTTCATCTTTTGGTTTCAAAAAATCTTAAGCTTTCCTTAAGCTTAAGTTTTATCTAAAGAACATAAACCAAGCTTAAAATTAAGAAATAATCAACAAACATGGAACTCACCTTTCCAAATGGGGTTTTACGGCTGAATGAGGAAGAAAGCTTCTGGAAATCTTAAGTTTTTGTTTCCCCAAACTCCACGTGATAAATAATATCACCATAACCATTTTTTAATTCATTTACTTTTCAATTGATCATTTTTCCCTTTTATTCCTCTTTCTTTGCTAATCAGTCCTATATAAAATATTCTCATTTAAGTCCCTAAACTTTTCAATTTATCTACTTTAGTTACTGTACTTTAAAAATTTACAATTTGATCACTAACCCGATGTTTAGGATGTTACATTCTCTGTCATCGAATCCTCTAATACACCGACCTCACCAGATTTTCCAAAATTATGCTTTTCAACTTTTCTCTTAATTTTATTCTATAACTTGTAACACTTCGATTTAACATGACATTTCTTTCTACAACAGTAATAAGTTTTACCTCGGTTGGAAGATTTTGATCTGCCCTTTCTTTTATTTCTAGAAGAGCGCTTGGCTTTTCTTTCATGGTCTGAGCTAGTTAATCCATGCACCACGAGACCCTTTGCCTGGGGCTCGAAACAAGATAGAAGATGTTTCATCTTGTCAAACATGTGCAGGCCATTGTACACCTCTACAAGAGTGAGTGTTTCATAACTTTACAAATTGTTTCTCTAAAAGATAAGTAGGAATGAGACAATGAACATAAGAGGATCAACCCTAAATCTTCTTGATCATACTTCACTTCTAAAGTCTCTAGATCAGAGACAATTTTCTTGAATGCAGTCAGGTGCTATTCAAGATATGAACCTTCCACCAACTTGAGCGAATAAAGGCGCAGCTTTAAATGCAACTTGTTGGTCAAAGATTTTTGGATGCATAATTGCTCTAATTTCACCCATAAAGAAGTAATTGCTTTTTTCTTTCAACACATTGTGCAATATTTGATTTGATAAGTGTAAACAGATCTGAGATAGGGCTTTCGATCCTTACATTTTTCTTCGTTCGTCCAATCTGACGATATCTTCTTTTCAATCTTTCAATGCATCATCTAAGTCCAATTGTGCAAGGACATCCCTAATCTTCATCTACCACAACGAGAACATAATGTTTTGATCTAATAGTAGAATATCATACTTTATTGTTGCCATAATCTTGACGATTATTGGCAAACAAATAAACACAATTAAAAAATCACTCATTTTCTCTAATTTGTATGTTGATTCGCTCCTTTTTCCGCCTCTACCAATGTTGTGGCGCTCGAGTGGCTTGGAAAACAACCCATGCTCACATGTTGGGGCTGTCGGGGCGTATGGAAATGTCACCATCTGGTTTGGATATGGAATTTGTACGCGTATCATACGCGTGTATAAAGGGGACACCAAGCATTTTTTTTATTATGATTTTATAAAGGTTAAATTTTCAATACTTACTTTTATAAAGGTTAATTGAATTAGTAGTTTTCTAAAAATAAATAGTACCATTTATTTAGCTGGATCGAATGGTACTATATTTAGTCATAAGTTGATCTTATATGGATTAAGTTATAAGATTAAATTTTATCAATAGTAATCATAGAGGGACAACAAGCATTTTTTATTATGATTTTAGTATAAAGTGATTTTCTGAAATATGATGGTTAAAAAGGTGATATGTGAAAAAGTAATACAATTTTAGTATACAGTAAAGAGTAATAATTAAAATCTTAAGTAATTTATATTATAACATGTTTGATTTGTTAAACACTTGTACCGGAAAGTGATAAAATTTTACGAAATTATCTATATTAAAAAAATAGTAATATTTATATATTGTAATAATCGATAATAGTTTTTTTTATATAGAAAACAATTAATTTTATTCAAAATAGGAAATATCTCAAATTATAATAAAGAATTACAATCACAATCGTAAATTAAACATATAATTAGGAAAATTTTCTATAATCATTAAAACAAAACTATTAACTTAAGATCACATAAGTATCATATAAGGAAAGATTAAATCTAATCAAGAAACTCGAACAAAGATAGATACAAGCAGATCTGATCGTATCAGCAAACGAACCACAAAAGAAGATTAAGCTATTGACCACCGACAATCTATAAACAGACTCGAACGACGTGAAAAGCTATCCACGAACACAAATCGGGTATCCAAATTCAATCCGAGTGTCCAAAGCAGAGAAGATCACAAGATATTAGATAAGCGTCATCTTAATTTGTCTTGACGATATCAAATCAAGCCTCAGAAAAAAGATAAATAAAAAAGAGTCAAAGAACAAAAAAACATGCCAAAAAACATAAAAAAACGTGACATAAAAATAAACTTATTGAAAATCAAAAGGAAAAAGAAAATAAAGATGTGATATAGGAAAAAAAATAAAGAATACCGGCGGTCGACAATTAACATTAAAGTTGGTGTCGTCGCCAATCAACAAAGACGAAAAATAAAAGAGATAAGCGACACACCGATAAGAGAAAACTTAATCGATGATAGTTTTTATTATTAACAAATATTATATTTAAATATTTAATAATAATAAATTAATACCCATATTCTTGTGGCACGTATTTTATTTCTTCTTGGGAAGGTTCTGATTCAGACGATGAAGTGATATACAAAAATAAGCTAGTTGTGCTTACAAGCTTATGGCTTCGGAAGATATGAGTTTTGAATTAGTGAGATATGATGATTAAAAGGGGGCCAATCTAATAAAGATATTCTTTCTCGTTAAAAAGAGAAGCCAAGGGTTATGTATTTATCAACTCACAATCTATTGTATTAGAGTTGTATAAAGAAATTCACTTTAAACAAAAGCTAAAACAGAGATCTAAAATAGTGGATGAAGAAGTTTTCGTGTAAATTTTTTTCTCTCCCTTTTGCAAATGAGGAGTATGAAATTTAGTTCGACTAGATTTCTTTCTATACAAATTTTCTTTGTAAAATATAAATTTACCCATATAACTAAATGTTAAAGGATTAGAGTTTTTTTTTATAACCATCTACGTCTGATTTATTTATTGATTAATTCAGATCGAGAATTGTAGAGACGAGAGTGATTCTCCCAACTAAGTTTGCTTCATTAGCAATTATCAAGATTCAAACCCCTGACATTGATTAAGGGATTTAGCGTCTCATCCGACTATACCAACCAATTCTTGGTTTATATTCTTAATTTTATAATCATTTTACGTTCATATTATCATACTTTATTATATATCGTTTATCATGGGATGCATGGTGGTGTAAAGGTTGGATCCAAATGTATGACTATCGGGCTCTGGTTCAAAGGATGGTACGTTGGGACTATATTTCAATGGTGAAATGGAGGCATAAGGAGAAGAGAAACTTCACAAAAGCATTCTACTCTTGTTGTTGGCCTATCTTGAATAACACGCCGAATTTTGAAGGAATGCCTCATAACTATAAAGCTTCCCCTACTATTTAAGCCATCATACTCTGCTATGCTAAGGCCTCGAATGTCCCAAACTTTTTGGCTCTGAAATCCTACTAACAGCGGAACCAAAGTTCTTAACTTAAGCAACGTCCTCTATGTCCAACGATGACAATGTTTTGGAATTGAGCTTCAAAAACACTATTTCCTCTAAGAAGATAAGATTTACTGTCTAAACAATCATAGTGATCTTACTTTCATTACCATTGCCAATAGAATTTGTAATTTCAACATTTCAAACATTGTTCCGAAGAACCAAATCCCTAACTCCATGGATGCACCTTGATGTTTAGTCATGAGTGCTAAGTGTGAACTTTTAGAAAATTATATTAGAAATTATGAAATACGAAATTAAAAAGATTTCAAGATTATATAATTAAATCATCTACAAAAATATAAAAAATATTTAAATTATATAAAAATTTAATATTTTCGAGAATACAACCATTAACATTCCTTTGCCCATCTCTACCAAACCGACTTTGACATTACAAGGCAGAATATCACAACATTGATGCCAAGTCTCCAAATCCAAAGTGAATTGGATCTCAATGTGGAGCTAAATGTTGTGACATTGCACCTTTAATAAACGACAATTTTATCCTTTTTATTATTTTGTCTCTTAACCTATAAATTGAGGATTCTACATCATTAGGGAAGAAGAGGGTCAGATTAAATTAGACTGAGAAATCAGTTTGATGTTAAGAATAATAACTTAGAATTAATTAAATTGGTCGGTTATTTTTGTGCTTTTAAGTGACCATTCACGGTTACCAATATGATCCTATATGTAATGTAAAATGGAAGCTAACTTACATAATTTCATTTTGAATATAGAATCAGTTTATATGAAATCATTATGATTTTCAATCTATCCTTTTCTTAAATATTCTTTAAAATAATTAGCATTCGGATTTTTAATTCAAATAATATCGGAAAGAACGCGGGAGAGAACAACTGACTTTCCTCCGAACAATTATTTGAATTGAAATGAAAAGATGTACACGTCATTTTGAGCACAGAGTTTTCCGGTTTTGTACAGTAAGAGGAATCCATTTATTAATATTGATAAGCATGATTGATTGATTTCAACCTTTAATTACGCTTATTAATTCAGATCTCTGTTTTAAACCAAACAAACACTCGGATTTCTTTCCCAACAACTCTCTCAGCTTTCTCTTTCTCCCAATAAATTTTATATTTTTATTCTTAAAATTCTTCTTTTGTTTTATGTAACCTTTATGCAATGGAGAGTAGTCACCGGCGACCAACGCTTTTTGAGCAAATGACAGCCGTCGATAACGGCCGGACCACTCTGGCCGCCGCTTTGACTCTCGATACCATTTTGGGAAACGCTAATGAGCGGCCCCAAACTCCGCCGTCTAACAATCGTACGCTTCTGGAGATTATACTAGACGATGGGTCCAACAAGGACAAGAAGAGTTGGAAAGCGTTTCGAGACAAGATCCGGCTCAAGAGGCCGGCCTCTGCTTGGTCCTCCTCGATCCTTGTTCCGGATTCTGATGATAATGTCCATAGTGATAGATCTCAGTTATCGAGGAGCGGTTCGTTTCGTTCTGACCAGGATGGCTCGACTCGGGTTGATGATGGAGGGGAACGTGCCCCGGTTTCTGATCCGCCGGTTATGAACTCTCTCTTGCAATTGGCGCGGATGGATTTGGTTCGGGTTGGGCACAATCCGGTGCAGCTGTCTCGAGATGATTCGGCTGATGTTAGCATGCCTAGTGACGCTCCGCCGTCTAGAAGCTTCCGGCCAGAAACAAACCGTGATGATCCGAATCGTTTTCCTTCCTCGATCACCGCCGTAAACTACATTGACAGCAGCGATGACGATGACTCTCCTCTGACTCGTCATGGCACTCGCCGACTGGCAGCGATATTGGCGGAGGAAAGGGCATTGTCTTCGAGAGAAGCAGCAGAAGCGAGCGCTTCGGCAGCGGCGGAACAAGCTGAAGAGGCCGTGAATAATGTTCCGCCAGCGACGGAGGAGACGGTAAGAATGTCACTAATGGAATTGTTGGAAGAAACAACCCAACAAATGGGGCTGATGGGAACGAGTTACCTCATGAGCGACGGTGACAAGTTCGACGAAGAGGAGGCTGTGGAGGAAGAGGAAGATGCAGCGGAAGAAACCACGGGGCGGGCGGAGCAGGCTTGTTGTGTTTGCATGGTTAGGCAAAAAGGGGCGGCGTTTATTCCATGCGGGCATACATTTTGCCGCGTCTGTTCAAGGGAGCTCTGGGTTCAGCGAGGCAACTGCCCACTTTGCAATGCCTCCATCTTAGAAATTCTTGATATCTTTTAATCCTTTTCTTCTTCATTTCAATTTTAGCAATCCGTATTTTTTAAATTTCAGCAAGGGTAATTTCATCGAAGTTGTGTGAACAAATTAAGGTTTGTGAATTCCGGGAATGCAATGAATGGTAGGTGGTTGACAATTTCATTACCATGATTATGAAGATTTCTTATCCTGGAAAGAAATTGGAGTCTAGAAAATAGATGGAAATAGCTGGAAAGGGAATTGGATGATGGATAGTAATATCATGTTCTTGTCTGTTTGTTCCATTAAAGAGGAAAGGAGCAGTGGCCCTGAAATTGGGATGCTTTGTTTTACTTTTTACTTTTTTGTCCAAAGTAACAAACCGATCGGCTTTGGAATCTGTAAAGTAATGGTTGATTTGATTTGATGAATATGTTTGGGGTGAGAAGCAAAGCTCTTCTCTGGCTTCGGAACCGGAATGATTTTTGTTGTTGTTGCTGATTCTGTCTTTTTTAACATTTCAACACCAGAAAACAAAGTTATATGAATTTTGATTAAATAAATTGTTGATGCTTTTTTAAGGATATTGGTTAGAATATCAACAATAATATTACAATGATTAAACCTATATCAAATTAAAAATATTTAGAATTGATATTATTTTAAAAAAATAAATATCTTAGTTTAATTAGTTTTTTAATAAAAAAAATATTATTATCTAAATTATGTAAGGATATACATTTCTATATATTAATTATAAAATATAATACACATTTATGATTGTTGTGTCATGTAAAATAAAAAAGTATTCCGTCTCCTTTTTTATTAAAAAAAAAGGTAAACTAAATGGGAGATCACTAAACTATGATCAAAATCAATGTGACTACCGAACTTTCAATTGAATCAATCAGACCAATCAACTATTTAATTGATTCAATCAAATCATCGGCCGTTAATTTTTAACAGAGGTGGTGACATGTCCGTTAATAAAATTGGCATAATTGTATATTTGGTCCTTAATATTTACATATTCTATCAATTCAGTCACTCTTTTAATTCAATTAAATTAAATTTAACTATCTACTTAGAATGTTACACGTGTCAATATATGATTGAAATATTTTATTTATCAATTTTAAATTATTTAATTAAATAATTTTTCTATCCAATCAGGTGATGACACGTGTCACCACCAATTGAAATGAAAATAAAGGGATAATATTGTGCTCAAGGGGAATCAAACAGGATCAGGGGATAGAGCAGACGCCCAAACCAATGGGCCAAAGGTCTGTAATAGTTTAAAGTAACAATAATTTGTATTTGTCTTTAAAGATTTGCTGATGATAAAAAATTAAATAAATTATTAAAAAATTAAATAAAAAATTCATGAAAAATAGTTTTCAAATAAATTTTGATTCGATTAACGGTTAAAGAAAAAAATTCAGTTAATTCAGTTTGGTTAATCGAACCAAAATTTATTTGGAAATTATTAACCGAACCGAATTAATTTAAAAATTATTAACCGAACCGAATTAACCGAATTTTTTTTTTGAAAATTATTAACCGAATTAATTGAAGCAAAAATTTGGTTAATTCGGTTCGGTTAATCGAACCAAAATTTATTTGAAAATTATTAACCAAACCAAATTAATTTGAAAATTATTAACCTAATCAAATTAACCGATTTTTTTTTTAAAATTATTAACCGAAGCAAAATTTTGGTTAATTTGGTTCGGTTAATCGAACCAAAATTTATTTGAAAATTATTGAAATTATTAACTGAACCGAATTAATTTGAAAATTATTAACCGAACCGAATTACCGATTTTTTTAAAATTATTAATCGAATTAATCGAAGAAAAAATTTGGTTAATTCAATTTGATTAATCAAACCAAAATTTATTTGAAAATTATTAACCGAACCAAATTAATTTAAAAATTATTAATCGAACCGAATTAACAAAAGTTTTTTTATTTTTTAAATTTTTTTAATTTATATAAAAATTGAATATTTTAATTAAGAAAATAGTTTACAATTAATTTAAATAATGATTTTTTTAAACAAATAATTTGTTTAATTTTTAATCATTAACAACCTTTTACAAATTAAATACAAAAATTAAATAAAAATTATTGTAACTTTAAACCATTGAGGACCTTTGGCCCAATGGTTTGGTGCTTGGTTGTTTTATCCCCTTGTCCCTAGCTAGATTCTCCTTGGACATAAGTTTGTCCATTTATTTTCATTTCAATTGGGTGGTGACATGTGTCACCATCTGATTAGATAGAAAAATTATTTAATTAAATAATTTAAAATTCATAAATAAAACCTTTCAATCATATATTGACATGTGTCATATTCTAATTGGATAGTTAAATTTATTTAATTGAATTAAAATAGTGACTAAATTGATATAATATGTAAATATTAAGGACCAAATATATAATTATGTCAATTTTATTAACGGACACGTCATCACCTCTGTTAAAAATTAACGGCCGGTGGTTTGATTGAATCAATTAAATAGTTGGGTGATCTGATTGATTCAATTAAAAGTTCGGTGGCCACATTAATTTTTGACCATAGTTTAGTGGTCTCCCGTGTAGTTTACAAAAAAACCTCGTTTGGAACCACCGGATCCACGTGGTTTTTCTGGGTTTAAAATTTGACCTTGACCATTATATATACATTGTGGGGAGATTATGTTGTGAGGCGCCTAAAATAAGGTTAATAAATAGTATGGTCGGTAAAAAAAGTTACATGTTAAAAGAGTGTTTGACAATCCGGAATATTTTTCAGTCAGAGTAACATAACATGTTTCAATATAATGTTATACAAGGTAAGAAATTAAGTTATAAATGGTAAATGTTATGAATACTTTAAACATTATAGGTTGCGTTGAAATTGTTATAAGAGTTTAAGATGTAGCCTTTCGATTTCCTGCGATAAAAGAAAAAGTTAAAAGTTCAAAATATTATAAGCATATATAATAAATTACGTCCAATAACGTCATGGTTCACTAAGAAAAGATGTTGTAATATGGAATCTTAATATTTTTAATAATAAAATGGGTTGCGCCTAAAACGTTATCAGAGTTTAAGCTGATTGAGCCTTGTATTTACTCACGATAAGAAAATAAGTTAAAAACGGAAAATGTTATGAATATATATAAGAAAGTAGTTGCGCCAAATAATGTGACGGTTCATTAAAAAATAGATTGTGATCTATAATGTTAATATGTTTATTAATAAAATATGTTGCGCCCAAGAATGTTATGGTTCATTAAGAAAACATTTTGCAATGTGGAATCTTAATATTTTAAATAATAAAATGGGTTGTGCCTAAAATGTAATCAGAGTTTAAGCCGATGAAGCCTTGTATTTTCCCACAATAAGAAAATAAGTTAAAAGACGAAAATGTTATGAATATGTATAATAAATACGGTCGCACCTAATAATGTCATTGTTCACTAAGAAATAGATTGTGATATGTAATGTTAGTATGTTTATTAATAAAATAGGTTGCACCCAAGAATGTCATGTTTCACTAAGAAAGTATGTTGCAATCTGGAATCTTAATATTTTGAATAATAATAAGGGTTGCGCCAAAAATATTATCTGAGTTTAAGTTGATGGAGTATTGGATTTATCCTAACTAACAATTTGTTTTAACTTTTAAAATTAATCATATTAATTATTATAGTGTATTAATTCAAAATCACACAATTTCATCAAATCACACGACTTCATCAAAATATCAAAATTTTATCGATTATAACCTATAAGTCAGGTAAATATCAAGTCATGTAAATATCATATCAGTTCAATAACAAGTCAAATCATTTACAGGTTGAGTCAATTACAGGTCGGGTTAATAATAGGTCGGGTAATACCAGTTATTTATCATGTTAATTTCAAGCTTGGGTTCATATTAGACGGATGCAAGCCAGGTTCGATTATCATATTATCTGTTCAATTCGGGTTCAGATCGGGTACAGGTCGGGTTCAGATCCATAATTTTCAAGTCCAACTTGGTTTCAGGTCAACACCGGTTCATACTCGAACTAGTTTCGAATATCGACCACCTCGAATCACAAACAATTTTGACTTAAGTGAATTTCAGTCAGTTTTGCAGGTGGGATCCATATTTTACCTCCCTAATAGTATTTTATGTGAATCAATTGTATTTGAATGATATGATTTGTAGTAAGGATATCAACTTTCTTATTTTTTTTATATGGTTTATTACCATGTAAGGATATCACCTTTTATACTTCTTTATTTAGTAGGCAGCAATGTCAAATACACTATTCGGTTATTAAAATAATCCTCGAAAAGGATTATCGATCAGTTTGATGAAACAAAATTAAAAGAGTAAAAATCCTAAATTATTTTAGCAATAAAATAATTATTTAACGAATTAGTGAAATTTATGAGTTGAAACATCAAAATGCTATAGATTAGTTAAATAAAAGTATTCATTATTTATTATTATATTAGTATGTCTTAGTATTGAGTATTAATTGAAAATTTGTCCAAATATATTGTTTTATTCTTTGAGAATTGTTCAGATATTGTGTTGGAATAATATATTATTCATAATAATTACTTAATAATATATTATTTTAGTGTTTGGTTTAAATATAAATAATGTTCATTTATGCCGATGTTAGAATTTTATGATTTTGTTTGTTTATCAAAATTATTGATATAGATATATTATTATGTGATTTTTTTTAATGAAGCAAAAGCTAAAGATGAGTAATCAGAGGCGTCTTACGAATGGAGGATCATGGAGGTCTCTGCGAAGGATAGGAACCAGGCCATCCGGAGGAGAAAGAAAGTGGACAATAACCCATCGCTCCTTGGAACAAATTTTGCCATGAAGTCTGCCGCGCCATTTGCTTCGCGCTTGATCAAGTTGAAATTCACGTGCCAAGCCTTGCGAGAAGATCTGAAATCATTCATATTTGCGACAAGGGACTGTCCATTGAGGCATGGAGAAGGAGATGACACGCTTCACTGTTATCAAGTTGAACCGAGAC